ATATGTGTATATATATATATATATATATATATATATATACACCTTGTTACGTGTACTGTGTTAGGCTAACCGAGACTTGTCATTTGCACTTATATATTGTTGCTCTTTTGTTAGTTTTGCCTGCTTTTATTGTCCCCATTTGTAAGTCGCTTAGGATAAAAGCGTCTGCTAAATGACTAAATAAATATATGTAATATAAACAATTATTCAAGACCATAGTCAAAGTATTATGACATGTGATAGTTACCATCATTGTACCACAGAAGCCTGCTTTTTAAAATATCTATATCATTTTATTTAACTTTCATTTATTTGTTTTAATGATGTGTATGTATTGGTTTTTGCTATTTTACCTTTGTCTCAGACCTCCAATCGTTTTTTAGAGGGGTAAAATGGTAAAATGGAAGTTTTGACCACTTATTTAGCTGGTCAGGCTGGGAGGGAATGGTTTTAAAGTAAAAAAAATTACAGTACATACAAAACTGGAAGAAATTATATTTTCCAGTAGTTCAGGAGTGTGCTTTTTATATGACAGTAGGGGACTGTTGTACAGTTGCTCTTTATGAACAGCAGATGGCGCTGCAGTTCAATCATTTGTCCTCTATAGATTTTCCCGAGTTCAGCAGCGCTGTTCTTCACAGCTCTGTAGCAAACGAGCCGCTGAGGAGCGAGAGTGGGAGAGGAGCTAACCAAACAACATTTTTCCCATTTTGCTATATCGACTCATTCCAGGGAGGAACAGTAAGTAGACCTGTTTATTACGCTCCAGTAAACATATCTAACGTTAGAGATAATCGCATACTCTCACTATCACAGACGCGGACTCAAGACACTAGAAATTTCCCCGCATATTTCCATAGTTTTCCCGTTCGGTGTGCTACCATTGCTCGCTTTCCTTGTAAAATACCGGTTGTCAACATATTTCCCTATATTTATATAATTTTTTTCTCGTGGATTTGGGGGCGTAGATTTTACCAGTTGATTAAAAACCATCTTGCGTTTTGGTTAAATAAAAAACAAAACACTGCGATCATAAAATCTAATAACTAATATATAAACTAATATTTATAAGGTGATAATAAAGTCAAGTGTGCTTATTTATTAAACCATAGTACCAAAATGATGTAATTAGTTCCATTTTATTAGAATCAGTTAATTTTAAAATGAGAAGAGTTGAATCTCTTCAGTCTGCTTTGAAAGTATGAACGGGTTAAAGATCATTTGCAGCGTGAAGAGCTGCAAAAAAAAAACACGTTTACAAATTCACGAGTTATAAGAACGAAGTAAGAAGTCAGTGTAGTGAAGTTACAGTGTTTGGGGTGATGTACTGGGGGAGGGGAAGGGACGTGGCACTCAATCCTCCGTTTACTACCGTAAAACATGTTAATAATAACAGTTAATCGTCTGTTATAACCTGTTATAATAATGCAAGTAATTTTGTCATTGGGGTTAACATCAGAGCAGACTAGTGTGTTTGCACAAGTACACTTGTACTTAGAAAAAGCACTCTTGTTGTACCATGGTATTACCATGGTGCATACTGACAAAACATGCTATATATATTATTACTACTGTACTTTTTGCCAGTGTTATGGACATTGAAAATGTATTTCTGTCCTTTAAAATTAGACCGTAAAAAGTCAAGCTGTTATTTTGCATGCACAGTCACATTAAACAATAGGCCTATTTTTGACTGATCATTTATTCATTATCATATGAAGCATGTTTGTGTTTACTTGACATGTATTGTTGCCCCCACCCCACAGTTACACAGTGCACAGTTGTCAAATCCAGTATATTAATCCAAATGTAAAGTAGTAGGCTATATTCTCTTACAATATTTTATCACGGTGGTCATTTTCCAGAAATCCCCAAATAGTTAATTATTTCTAACTTGCTATACATTTACTGTAACTGATTATGGTTTTACCAAACTTAGATTTTGTTACGGTTTGGCCCAGGGGTGTAGTACTTCTGTATTATGGTGACCACATCTAGTAACCTTCCTTGACTTCACCCCGGGCTATTGCTGTTTTAGTGTATTCACTGCAGGATTTTAGGCAAGCCTTCTCTACAAGTTAATACTAGTTCCTCAAAGGTTTAGTCAAGTCACATGTTCTGATCACATTCTTGTCTTTTTGAGTTAGGAAAAAGCATAACATTTTTTAAGAGGCACTTGGAGGAATCTGAAATGGTTTGTGTGCTGCTGTTTAGGTGTTATTTGTGTTTGGGTAAACTCCTGTAGTGCTTGTTTTAGTAGCTGTTTTTGCCCCCAGCAGATGGCCGAGTTTTTGGAAATGGCTGGGAAATGCATTCACATTCGAGTTTTTCTAACACCAAAGCTGAAGTGACGTTTCGGTCAAGCGACGGTCAGAACACCGTTTTTCTAGATATAGCCTACATGTTAACGATTGAGGAACAGCTGTTTTGTCTTGTTTCAGTTAATCATTTTGGTTTGGAAAGCTAAAAGAAGCCCATATTCTTACAAACCCACAACCTGACAGATAAAGCTGTTAGTTTCTAGTTTCTCTTGGGGCTTTTTGAACCGGTAATTTGAGTGATGTGAATAAAGTGAGTTGCTCAACCCAACCAAACACCCATTGTATGAGTAACCTACTAAAACACAATGAATTGTTCCTAAATACGCTGCTGTCTCTGTCTCTGCTGTGGTTCAAACCACTTATAAACAAAAGCGAATAGAGGTCATACTAAATTGGCGGGCTGAACTGAAACTGATATATGAGCAATGTCTGCATGTACTTAGCCATGATGCTAGGGTGGGTTGGGTTTTGTTCAAATGCCTTAGCGAACACCACTAATAAGTATCCACCCAAAATGGTTTTGAAATAATCTGTTTTAAGATTTCTTGTGCAGAATAATTCAACATGCCCTCAAATCACAGGAAGTGGCTTTAATCCAGTTCACATACTGAAAGTATGCACGTCACTGCTGGAATAAAATGTCTTTTGCACTTGCATGTATCGTGGTAGTGATCTAGCTAAATTAACTGCAAATGGTAATGAAATGCAATGAAGTTTTGTTGAAATTGCAAGAATGACTTATATAGCCAGATAGTCTTGAAAACATCAGAAAGAATGTGCTGAAAATGTCAAAGCATTTTCATGTGTATGCCATCAAAAAAATGAGCAAGAGTGTGTATATATATATATATATATATACTATTTATGATGGATGACATGCAAAAAAAAAAGGGTACACTCTAAAAAATGCTGGGTTAAATACAACCCAGTGCTGGGTAAAATAGGGACAAACCCAGCAATTAGGCTGTTTTGACCCAACGGTTGGGTTAAATGTTTAACCCAACCTTCTGGGTAGTAACCCAACCGCTGGGTCAAAACAGCCTAATTGCTGGGTTTGTCCCTATTTTACCCAGCACTGGGTTGTATTTAACCCAGCATTTTTTAGAGTGTACCC